AAAAAAAAAAAAAAAAAAAAAAAAAAAAAAAAAAAGATAAAGAATTGAACTGTAAAAAAATTTTTTTTTTTTTTTTTTTTTTTTTTCATGAACTGGATGGTACTTTAAAAGTGATCTTAATATGACTTTACGTGTTTAGTAATTTACTTATGGAGAAGATGATCAAACCTCAACTCCTGTGTTTTAATTCAAAAGACTGTCCGGTGGGAAAAATACTTATGTTAGACAATAATATATGACAGGAAAGCCCACCAAACTTCAGGGAATGTCAGGGCATCAAAGCAGAGTGAATGTAAATGTTTTCTGCAGATTCTATACTGAAAACCTATATCACAGTCCTTATGAGAAAAAAGATCTTGAAGTGCAGCTCTAAGTCCAAGAAGAATTAAAAAATATATTTGAATTCTTTGTAAGTCAGATATGCAAAATTACCTTAAAATTTTTAAGAAAATGTTTGGAGTAAATAGGCATGATTGTGGTTAAATAATTTTACTTGAAAGTTCTTACAAAGATGAAATCCTATTGTAGAAAATGCTAATATTAAATCAATGTACCCCACATATATGTATAATAATAAATAAATAAATAAACTGCCAGTATTTATCTGTTTGTTTCATATTTTTGTCATCTCAAATCCATTTTTAAATAGTTTCCTTAGTGTGATAAAACATAGAAGGTTACTTCAAAGTTACTGGAAAAATTTGTATTATCTTTTAATTCTATTTTCATAAACTTTTTGAAGTTCTCTCATAATATAAAGGTGACCATTTTAACCATTTTTAAGTGTATAATTTAGTGGCATTTACTACATTCACAATGTTGTAAATCACCACTATTCATCTCCAGAATTTTTTCACCATCCCAAACTCTGCACCCAATAAACAATACTTCCTCATTCCTCCTCTAGTAACTTCTATTCTTTCTGTCTTTATGAATTTTCCTATTCTAGGTACATTATAAAAGTGGAATCATACAATATTTACCTTTGTCTGGCTTTTTCCACTTAGTACTATCTTTAAGGTTCATTCAGGTTGGCTGGTTGTCGGCTTTTTAAGGCTGAATAATATCCCTTTTATGTATATACATTGTTAACCACTCATCTGCTCATGGACATGAGTTACTTTTTGGCTATTGGGAATAATGCTGCTATGAACACAGTATGCAAGTTATCTGTTTCAGTCTCTGATTTCAGTTCTTTTGTATATATACCTAGAAGTGGAATTGCTGGGTCATATGATAATTTTTATGTTTTAACTTTCTGAGGAAACACCAAATGGTTTTCCAGTGTCTGCACCATTTTAAATTCAGCAGTGCACAACAGTTTCAATTTCTCCACATCCTCACTGACATCTGTAATTTTTTTTTTTAATAGCCACCCTAATGGATTTGTCAAAGCCACTTTTAAGTGAAATTAGAAATAGAGGGTTGTCAGTTACCTCAGGTGGTTAGAGCACAGTGTTATAACACCAAGGTCAATGGTTCAGATCACCAAACTGGAGAGCACTCAAAAAAATAAAATTTTTCCTTCCTCTGAAATTGGAACATATTTTTATATCTGATGGCATTTATTCCCACAATATCTTTCACTGGGGAAGAGGTCACTAAATACAGGTTAACTATCCCTAATCCAAAATGCTCTAAAATCAAAACCTTTTTGAGGGCCAACATGATGTTCAAAGGAAATGCTTATTGGAGCATTTTGGATTTGGGAAGTATAATGCAAATCTGAAATAAGAAACTCTTCTGGTTCCAAGCATTTTGGTTAAGGGATACTCAGGCTGCATTCACAAGCCTAAGTTTCCACGCCTCCTGAATACCAGTCCTACCACAGCACTTTTTCTCACAAACCTCCTTCGTCCAGCTAAAAAGGCACTTTAAAAAAAAAAAGAAAAAGCGCCCCCCAAAAACTCAAGTCTTAAGAAGGAATCAGTATGATGGAAGAATCCCCTGATGTCTTATTTAGGGCTAATCCTGTAAGTACTATAATTAAAACCAAATTACCATAATATCTACCATAATTTCCACACACTGGAACACTTTAAACCCTTCCAGGGTGTTCTACAACCCCAATGTGCTTCATGTTATTTAACTGACTTTTACAAGGGGATACTTTCAAATTTCAACTAGATATTGCTGTGAACCTAAGATATATAAGGAGACACTGTTTATATTGTCGTTCTCACTTCACTGATGCTTTACTTTCACATACGGTCTCATTTTATTACAATTCTACAAAGCAGAAAACCAACGGTCAGGGAGCTTAAACTACTAAGAGATAGTCCACAACATCAAAATGTATTCCACCTACCGACTGTCCCTTTTTGTGCTTTCTTCTGTAGAGGACAGTCCAGTTTATCTGCCGAGGATTCCTCTTGGATAGAAATGCTGACTCGCATTTTGCATTAAGAAATTGGAAAACCTGGAGTGACAAAATCAAAGTAATTACCTACTTAACTATACAAAGTAGAGGAGGCTGAACTTGAAATCCTCAGGAAGTTAATATTTTAGTTCTATCTTCTCATTTTACGAAATCGAGGCCTACAAAAACCAAAAGGCTTATGTTATACAACTGGCAGGTAACTGAGTAGTATCACGAAGGTCTTTGCGTTTGGTCTTTTCTTGAAAGCAGGGAAACCTGGGCCGGCCCGTGGCTCGCTCGGGAGAGTGCGGTGCTGATAACACCAAGGCCACGGGTTCGGATCCCATGTAGGGATGGCCGGTTTGCTCACTGGGTGAGCGTGGTGCTGACAACACCAAGTCAAGGGTTAAGATCCCCTTACCGGTCATCTTTAAAAAAAAAAAAAAAAAAAAAAAAAAAAAAAAAAGGCAGGGAAACCTAAGCTCGTAGCAAAGGGTAGGGTGGTCCGTCAAATTCTAGGATGCATCCTGTTCTTGTCCCTCCCTGGATTCTGAGAGGACCTGGTGCCCCTGAAACAGCTAGATACCCCGGTATCCCAATTATTTCCCTTACACCGGAACATAAAATTACACAAACCTTTCCTCATTTCTGATCTAGCTCACGGTAAGGTACACCAAAGCTAAATTCTGATTCACTTGGAGGTTTCTGTTCCTCACAATCAATCCCCACAGGGTCCTCACAAAGCCTTCCAAGGACCAAGAGTGATGTGGTAACTGAACCTGCCGAGACCGAACTAAACCGGCCTTTGCTCCTTGGAGCACAAGAAGCTGTTTAGCTGGCGTGGCCTTTTACCTTCCCGTCGGTCCTGGCGTACCGCCTCCCATGTCCGGGATAGATCTTGTACCCGCTGAAACTGCACAGCTCGACCCTGTTACGAAAAGTGAAAGCCTGTTAGGGGGGATGTCTACGGCAAGGAGAAACCATACCTAGGACACCGGAAAGGCACTCAGGCCGAGGATGACAACGGATTGGGATCCACGGGTATTGCTTACTTCATGGCGGCAGACACCGGGGATGAGAAAGGATGGCAAGAAGCAAGAGAGGATCATGGGAAGAGACCTAATAAGGTCGTGGGGAAAACTCCTCCCCAAATTCCCTTCCCTGACCCCGGCGCTCGGTGATGGCGTCACTCTCGCGGTGCACCGGATCTCGTTTTCTGCGGCAACCGACTTCCTTAGGAATCCTTTCTGCGACGGCTGGAGGCTCTAGGGGTCACAAAGAGGTGAGGCCGAGACAAACAGGCAGGGTATTGGTTTCTGAGGGATTCTGTCTCAGCTACGGCCAGGTGTTCTAAAGCCGTCGTTCTGTTGTAAGGAATGTGAACGTTAGAACAAGTGTCTCCTCTCTCTCTTATAGGGACCCATAGACGAATACCCCGCAGGTGAAACTTAAAGAAGTCACATTTTGTCTTCCGTGTTGGCCCATTTCCTCAGCCAAAAAAATTAAATTTTAATAGTTCGACCATTTGTAAAAAAGTATGATTATCTAAAAAAAAATTAATAAAAAAAGTAATGGCGTCTGGACCGTGCGAATCGAATTGTGCATGACGGCACTTTGCTTTGTTGTCATTAATTATAATTGACTTTCATTGAGCGCCTTCTCTGTGCCAGGAATTATGCTAAAGGCTGTTTACATACATTAGCTTATTCAGTTTACAAAATTCCTACTAAGTACGCGCCGACGCACTGCAAAATGACGACTACTGATCGGGGAGGAGCTCGGTTGAGAACGGCGCTGCGGCCCGGTGAAGCCTAGGGGCCGCTGGGGGCGTGCCGTGAGGGCCAAGGCTGTAATCTCTGGAGCCCTTCTGTGATGCCAGATACCGAAGCATATGCTATATGACGGGTAGTGGCAAGAGGCAATCCTTGAATTCTATGGGAGACTGGAGAACATGACCAGGAAATAAATGTAATGATTGATTTATGCTTTCTTTATAAACAACTCACCCTAAAAATGTTGTGTGACATAGGTGGTTGAAGAGATTTGGAATGTCTCACAAAGTGGCTGACTTATGCTAAGAAAATTGTGCAGTTGTGTTGGGACCAGTCTCAAGAATGGTTTGAGATTTCTGCGTGGGATTAAAAAGCAGAGCAAAAAAGAGGAATTTGACAGCCTGACCTACTCTGACCAGTTGTTGCAAATACCTGGTGTACTTGAAAGATGTTCACTTCCTTAGTCTTCCATGGCTTGATGAACTTAACCAACTCTGACATTCATCCAGCTTTGTTTGTTGTAAATCATTGCTGACTGAACAAATGTTGGAGTATTAAAAAAAAAATCTTTTTGAAATAGTCCTGGCTTCTACAAGTTCCAAGGCACAGCTGGGTGTGAATAGAGTGTGGAGCCAAGATCCACCTGCGGGAATGTAGTCCTTTTTGCTCCATAGAACATCAGAATTTATTGTTCCTTTCCAGCATTTTGGAAAATTATTGGTCTTTGAGTTATGTTTGGTTTGTCTAGTTCTGTGGAAGAAAAGCGGGAAACTGGGTCTTTGGGATTTTAGTTGTATGTTATTCTTTCCTGGAGGACATTCTTGAGCTGATATTTCAGGGTTCTTTGTAACACACTGCCTGTGTCACAACTTAAATAACCCTTAGAGGGTTTTGTGCTCAAACCTTCTTGGAATGGGAAGAAATTATACAGAAAACCCCCAAAGGATTTATCTTATACGGTGTCAAAGCACAGCTTCCAACACTATACATTTTTGCTGGCTTAATCCTTTTTTTCCTCTTTCATCATAGGTAAAAGGCTCAGGTGCAATTTATTCTTTTATTAATTTATGGAGCAATACTGAACCAAACTTCGTGCCCTTCTCAGCCTTCTATACCTTTTGAGAACAGTGTTTTCCTTTCACAGCTTCTTCAACCTTTTATACATATTCACCTGCTATATTAGTTTCCTGTGGTTGCTGTAACAAATTACCACAAACTTGGTAACTTAACACAACAGAAACATATTCTCCCAAAGTTCTGGAGGCCAGGAGTCCAAAATTAGTATCACTGGGGTGAAATCAAGGTGTCTGTGCTCTCTGGAAGATCGAGAGGAGTACATGTTCCTTGTCTCTTTCCAATTTCCACCCAGATAAACCACTCTTGAATTCCTAACTTATCTCTTCCAATTTCCACCCAGATAAACCACTCTTGAATTCCTAACTTATCTCTTCCAATTTCCACCCAGATAAACCACTCTTGAATTCCTAACTTATCTCTTCCAATTTCCACCCAGATAAAACACTCTTGAATTCCTAACTTACAGTGTGAGATCATAAATGTTTGTTGTTTTAAACGACTATGTTTTGGGGATAATTTGTTAACATAGCAATAGGTAATACAGAGAGTAAGGAAAATGTGATGATGAATGCTTGGTGAATGGTGGTATCATTTGTAAAGAGAAGACAGATAAGAGAAAGGAGCAGGTTTTGAAAAGCTGTAAGATGCCCACAGGACATTAGGTAGAGCTGTGTAGTGGGAAGTTAAACAAGCTCAGAGGAATGTTTGGAATAGAATATATTTTAGGAGTAATGAACCTGTGGTCATAGTAGGATATGTGGGATAATATCACCTAGTGTCACAGGCTGGCTTCTCTGGAAGCAGTTGCTGAGACTGAGTTTCAGGTGCAAGATATTTGTTACAGTCAAGTCTTGCGACAGGAAGGAGGAAAAAGCAATATTAGGCAGAGAAAGAAACTGAATACATTATAGGCCCAACTAAACCTCGACACACCTGTCAGAGTGTCCTCTATTGGGCCAAATGGTCAAGCCTCTTTATTTATTTATTTATTTTTATTTTTTATTTTTTAAAAGATGACCGGTAAGGGGATCTCAACCCTTAGCTTGGTGTTGTCAGCACCACACTCAGCCAGTGAGCCAACTGGCCATCCCTATGTAGGATCCGAACCCGTGGCCTTGGTGTTATCAGCACCACACTCTCCCGAGTGAGCCACGGGCTGCCAAATGGTCAGGCCTCTTTATAACAACACCTTGCTCAGTAAACATATGTGGGCTGCCCCAGAGAGGTCATGACCTCAAGAGAGGTGGTTCTCAGCAGCTGAGTCAGGCCCTACTGATAGCCGGAGAGTGCTGCTGCCTAAGCTGTATTCTCTTAGACAGCAAGCCAGCCCTTGCTTGAAGAGGGATCTGGGTAGTGTATTTCTGTGTCTGCCACCCCCAGAAAGAGTGACTGGAGTGAGTCAGCAAAAAAGAATCAGGAAATATCAATATTTAAGAGAAAGGGAAATGGAGGAAGAGAGAACTGTCTGAAGGAGCCTGAGCAGAGGAGGTCAAAGGAGACAGAAGCATGACAGTCATCTCATAGAAGCCTATGGAAGTGCTAAAAGCCACATAAAGTTCAAGCCAATGACAGGAATGTGTAAATATGAAAGCCTTTGGAATAACTTAAGTGCCATTCTTAGTGTTTCCTTCTAACATATCAGTATTCTCCCCTGAGGTGTGAGAAGGATCCTGCCTTTTTAGACTACTGCCAAATAGTTCCCTGCATGCTTGCAATCCCAAGATTTAGGCATTGACTTCCAGGTGTGCTTTGAAACAAATGTGTAGTAACTAGATTAGAAAATAGGTTTAGGGCCGGCCCATGGCTCACTCGGGAGAGTGTGGTGCTGATAACACCAAGGCCACGGGTTCGGATCCCATATAGGGATGGCCGGTTGCTCGCTGGGTGAGCGTGGTGCTGACAACACCAAGTCAAGGGTTAAGATCCCCTTACTGGTCATCTTTTAAAAAAAAAAAGAAAATAGGTTTAAAAATTACACAGCGCCTCTTTATTTTTTCTTGGTGGTTGGCAGGTGTAGAGATCAGGATCCTTGACCTTGGTGTTACAACACTATTCTCTAACCAATGAACCAACTGACCAGCCCATACTTTCTTTTAATTCTATTTCTCCACAAACTTTTTTTTTTTTTTTTTTGTCTTTTTCCGTGTCCAGCAATGGATCGCAACCCTCAGTGTCACGCCCGGACCGGGACCGGCAACGGGATCGCAACCCTCGGTGTTGCGCCCGCACCTCGCTCAGCCAGTGAGCGGGAACCGGTCTGTATGTGGGATCCGAACCCTCGGCGGGAGCGCCGCCACACTCCCAAGCGGCGCACTGTAGCAGTGCGCCACCGGGCCGGCCCTCCACAAACTTTTTGAAGTACCCCCCTAAAGCTATTTCCTTTCTTCTGCAATCAGTCTCTCCACTGGTCATAGTATCTTTTCATTTGCTATTTAACGTCATGCTCTTTCAGACAAAGACGTTAGGTTGGCCAGTACTGGTGCCCAGGGGCCCAACTGGTGATTTGACACTTGTGCTTGCACCACATGTTCCACCAGCTGGGTCCTCTTTCCCTCCAGCTGCTGGACCAATATGCAGTGCCCTACCTGGGGGCAGGAAGGTTGAGCCAGCCATCTCCTTCCACCGTCCTGGTCAAACCCACAGTGGACACGCAACCCACCTTGGACATGTTTTGTATTTGGATCCTGGATCGAGAGTGGGTATCAAGTCACTTGCAGAGCCCACTGGTGCTGTCTGTTTGGAGGAAGGGGGAGGGAAGTCAGGCATTAGGGAAATGCAGAATCAGCTCATGAAGGCTGTTGGGCAGGCAGCAGGAAGTGAGACCAGCCTGTGAGCTAAGGCTTCAAGCCCCAGACATGTGCTTTATTGTCCTTTTTTTACTTCACTTACAAAACACAAAGTCAAAGATAAGACTTTCAGGGCATCAACTGTAGGGCATTAAACCCCAAGTAAGGGACCTTCCTTAGTGTGGTGGATTGTGTAACTGCACTGCTCACGCAACTTGAAGCTGGCTCTGCCTTTTGATTAAAAGAAACGTTAGAGCCTCATTAACCAATTACAATGTATGGATCTTATTTAATCCCTGATTTGGACAAACAAGCTGGATAGACTATAGGGGTAATTAGAATATTGATTAGATTTTTTTGTTTTTCCCTTTTTGTCTTTTTTCGTGACCGGTAACGGGATTGCAACCCTCGGTGTCGCGCCCGTACTGCGACCGGCAACAGGATCGCAACCCTCGGTGTCGCGCCTGCACTGCGCTCAACCAGTGAGCGGACCAGTCTCTATATGGGATCCGAACCCTTGGCGGGAGCCCCGCCGCGCTCCCAAGCACCGCACTCTACCGAGTGCACCACCGGGCCGGCCCTTGATTGGATTTTTGATGATATTAAGACTTACTGTTCATTTTTTAGTTATAATTGTGTTGTGGTTATTTTTTTTAAGTTATTACTTTTTCAAGATATATACTAAATGTTTACAGATGAAATAACATGATGTCTCAGATTTGCCTTAAAATAATCTGAGGAAGGAGTTAGTGGGTAAGGGCATGTATAAAAAAATGATTGACTAGGAGTGGATAGTGGTTGAAGCTGGATGTTGGGTACCAGAGTACATCAAGATAGTTTTTATACTGATCCCTGTAAAAAAAAAAAGGGGGCCAGCCCTTAAAAAAAAAAATTCATCTTATATATATTTTGGCAGCTGGCTGGTAAGGGGAACTGAACCTACCTTGGTGTTATCAGCACCATGCTGTAACCAACTGAGCTAACTGGCCAGCCCTAAAGAAAATTTTTATTTTTTTCTTTGTTTGTTTTTTGTTTTGGTGGCTGGCCAGTATGGGGATCCAAACCTAAAAAAAAATTTCAAAGAAAAAAAAAACTTTGTACAAGAATGTTCATAGTAGCTTTATTGTTAATATTAGGTCGTATGAGAACCCTTTTAGTCACGCCCCATCATGGTGCTGGCTACCCTTCTCTTCCGCCTTCTCCTTCCCGCCGGCGCGAATCGCACGCCAATCAGCACAGGCTTCCTGCTCCTGGCCCCTTAGCAACGCAATCCATCCAATCCCCAAACGCCCCGTGTCCTCAGCAAACCTATCAGCTCTCTTCTAACCCTATAAAAGCAGATGTGCCCACTGAATAAAAAACCTTCTCTGGCGAGCTGCCTTGAGTTTGTGTCTCATCATTTAACTGGTGCTGAATTTTATTCCTTTCATTGGTGCCGAAACCCGGGACGGGATTGTCCACTGTGGACCCCGTATCCATCTCAACCAAGGCGGCTCACCCTCGTCCACCTTTTCGGGCGCTGGCTCTTCACACTCACCACCGCTTCCACCCTTAGGTAAGTCTCCGTTATAAGGCTGCCACCCTCCTCTGGGCTATAGTGGAGCAGTTATCAACCAACTAGACTCCGACGCCCTTAAGAGGTGTAACGTTACACCCCATTAAGACCTTTACGGTCATGACGGACCCTCCGGCTATCCACTCCCTTCTCTCCAGGAG